CCACTATTGCCTGTCTATAAGCTGCATATACACAGTTGTTAAATCTCAGACCTGTTCTTGTGGCCAAAGGCAGTGTCATAGCAGACTCAAAACAAGAAATGTGCACATTAATTTCTGACACTTGAGTAGTGTTATCACAGCATGATCAACTGAAAGAAAAAAAAAATGCTCATCATCATATTAGGATGGGCTATCTACTCACTTGACTGATTGTGTACTAGCTAGAAAGCATCCTTACTGCAGGCTAGAAGCTTGGAAAGAATAAGAATTATGGTTAGGTTTCAAATATAAAATATATCATTATACCACAGGAAGAAATGTATAGCTTACACTGTGATTATCCTCCTCCTCCTCTTAACTCCCATAAGGAACAACTCTCTTTACCATCCTTTGTGGTGCATGCTTACCTACAGTATGAAAATACAACCATAGTTCTGTGTATACATGTAATTGTTAGTGATTTTACTCTACTGCTACAGACTTTTTGGACATTTACCTAGCATGGACTTTTTGCCTAGCATGGACATTTTACCTAGCATCAAGACTTCACCTCTTCCATGTAGATGCAATGGAATCCTACCTTAGATACTTAGTTTTGCAGGGGCCAGAAGGAACTGTTATGCCAGATGGGTAATTATACTAAGAGGAAGAGAAGCACCAATACAAATAATCTTTAGGGAGACAGGTCACATGGAATTCAATCTCCACATTAAGAACCACTAATCGGGTGCTTTGCATCTTTGTACACACATTTGTGTAACCACCCATAATGATACAGCATGCCAGTCTATAATATGCTTTCTATAAAGCTCTACACACCAGTAATAAATTGTCCAGTTTATAGTTATATAGTTAACCAGGGAAAAAAAAAAAATCTAATCATAAAACAACATATTTTATATTTATTTCTGCCCACATTGCTCCAGCCCATTGTATATTTGTATTAAACCAATACCAATTTTGCATAATGGTTACTAACCTATAAAAATAACTAAGGTAACCCAGTCATTCATTGTGTTCTAAAGAACAATAGATTAAGATTACTAAGTGTTGCACAGTTCAAAGTTAAGCTTTTATTTTCTTTGAAATTAAAAAAATAAATATTTTGTTATTAAATAGTGAAATGCATTCTAAGTAATGAGTACATACTAGTTATGTTGATTGGAATACCATCAAAGAGACAACCATGTATCATTCAAACAAAGGTTATCTTGTATTGTTTGCTTAACAGTGGCAGAAAAATGTAGCTACTGTAAATTGTTTTAAAAAGGCAAAAGGGTTTACAACAAACATTAGAACTAAACCTAGTTTGTTCTAATGAGCGCCGTTCTAATACCAAAATTTGATTTAAAGTCCTTCTGTAGATCTCTGGCAGAACCATAAGTTGCCTAAGCCTGCCTTAAGTACTATACCACAGTGCTAATGTCATCAGCTTCATCAGGTTTTTTTTGCCTGCTCGGCAGGGACTTCAAGTATTCTAGATGTCTTCTTGCATCCTCTTGGTTTTGCCGTACATAGTATACCACATAGGAAATCACCATGGTGAACCAGCCAAACATAGTGACCAACATGGCATAGTCTGTTGTCCGTTTGGGAAGATTACAAAGGTCAGCATCATTAGCATTAGTCAGAAATGCCCTTCCTGCATGTTCATCCAGTACAGCCGTTTTGCAGATGACATTGCTGGCGGTTTCATGGTTAGATGCCATGCTCCGAAGAACTTGCTGTAGAGTACAGTCACACAATGCCAAGGGTTGTTGGCAATCCGGGCCCTAGCCTTCAAGTTATTAAAAGCATTTTTATGGACACTTACAATCTGGTTATCTGACAAGTCCAGTGTCTGCAAGGTCTCTGCCACTCCTTTAAAAGAGTGTTCATCTATAAATTCAATAGCATTTTTGGATAGGTTGAGAACTTTCAGTTGATGAAGATCTTTGAAAATCTCATTAGGAATAGAAGTTATCTGATTGGAGTCTAGATAGAGTAAAACAGTTTCAGGGGAATGTCTCTAGGTATTTCCTTGAGATTGGCATTACTGCAGCTGACATTTAAGCCTCCGTGAAGAGAGCAAAGGCAGCCTTTGGGACACATACTGGCAGAATGAAAACACAGTATCATCAGAACAAAGCTTTGTAGGAGCAGACACATGGAGAGAGAGCGTGTTAGCCACAGGTCTACCAAATTCATGCTTAGATGTCAGCATAATAACATGACTACTCCTCATTTACCCAAAAGAAGCAGTAAAGGATTCCCCAGAGCAAATCCGCACCTTCATTGTTTTATATTTCACTGAAAGGTTAACTGGGGTGGACATCAGCTCACGAGAAGTATCTGAAACACAGAAAAAAGGACTGATAATTATAATTCTTATTCTTGTATTCAATAAAGAGGAAAAAAATTCATGCACATATATACATTTTTGCAGTTACGTATTAAAAGAGACAATGCTGCCAACAAATTGCAGGTAAATGCATGTAAAACCAAATATTTCAATTGCTAACATGTAGTGTTTTTCCTTTGCATAAATCATTTTTCACTTGTAATGCACCTTTGAACTTGGTAGAGCACTAAACTATTCCAGAAAGAGTCAGTTTCCTTGCACAGCCCCTTTCACATCATAGCCCTCTCCTCTTCTGGGAATGTCTAATTACTGTCTGTGCTGGCTCAGCTACTCTATCACTCCCCTCACTTTCCTACATAAACTTTTATGGAGCAGCTGGGGGAGACATGACTGGGAATATTATATAGTTTAATTTGAATGAGAATGTGTCTCCTGGGACATCTAAGATGATGGTGACCAGCAGCAGTCTTGGGGTTTTTGGATGTCTACACAAAGGCAAAGCTTTTACAGCTAAATTATATTCATGAATGACAGTAAATGCCCCTATATCATATGAGAATTGTTTTTGTTGAAATAGATGGTCTGGTGACAGGGTCTCTTTAACCTTTCCTCAAGCCATTCCTGGTTACAGACTGGAAAGCAACCTTATTCATTAGGGCTTTACAATTTCACATTCATTTTGGGTGGCTGGCCCTCTAAATTTAAAGTACCAGTTCTGGTTCTACACCGGTACAGATCCAAATCATTTGGAGACTCCCAAAGTGAGATCTCTGCACCAGAGTTTGCACATTCATTCTTCTGCCACAGCCATTATGAGACAGTCTATCTCTCACTCCTCAACATATCTCCTGGTTCATATGTTTTACATTACAAAGAATGCATCAGAAGGGTTAAGACCCCCTTGCTTAGTTTTGCAATGGATTTAATAGGGTATAGATCCAGCAGTTTTAGCAAGGTGATCACATCACTAGAGTAAAGCATAAAAAAAGTGGGTAATCCAACCATCTGAGGCTCATATTTAAAATTTTAATTGGAATTCCTATTTACATTGTATTTATTTATATAGGCTGACCTTTAAAACCTGTAAAAGAAAAAGATTTGGGGAAACTTATTTTTGATCAGCCATTCTCAACCAGGGTTCTATGGAATCCTAAGGTTCTACCAGTTTGACCTCTCATTTAATAATGCTTGCATAATTCCAGAGCCAACACCACTTGGCAAAACCAGGAGCATAACACCAGAGACCTCTTTAGCTGTCTGTAAGGGTGACAATCAGACCACTACTGTAAGTATACCAAGTTCTTCTATCTGACCACCAATGCAAGGGGCATTTTCCCCACTGACCACTAATGAATTTTCTTTAGCAGGATTTCCCTAGACCTGGAAATAATTGTAAGGTTCTTCTGTATAAAAAAGTTGAGAAAGGCTGGTTAAGATGATTGAAAAATAAGCACAATGTGTAATGGGAAACGCGGAAAGCTTTAGGATGCCTTACTGGAGGGATTATCAGCAGGAAGAAGGAGGTCCAAATTCTATAATAGGAAGCTAGATACCATGTAGAATACTGCGCCCAATTCTGTAGATCTTGCTTGCAAAATGATATTGATAGAATGAGTGCAGAGATGGGCAACAAAAATGGTGCAAGATCTGGGGGATAAAATGAGTACAATCATCAGATAGATGCATATAGATCAGATGACATGCTGCCTTCAATAGCACACCCTGGTTTTAATTTATATAATATTTTAATCATAGTATGACAGGTATTTAGAATGGAAGGGGGTGTTGTCATGTGTCTAGGGTGGAATAATCTTTAAATACAGCCTTGGGAACACACAATATAAGCTTCTCATTGCCTAGCCTACGGCTCACATATGTACTAAAAGGTCTATTCCCTGTTTACAATCCAAAGGGAATGATTACAATTCAGATTTACTTAAAAATAGTTCCAATATGCTCAGACTGGTCACTCACCCTTTACAAATATCAAGTCATGTATCACACACTGTAGCATAGCTGTAAATTATGAGGCCCCCATTATAAAGTCATTAGAAGACTCCCAGACTCTCCAATATAAATGATAAAACTATTTTCAATACTAAAACCTTTATTCTGGCAACACAACTATGACTGCAGTTGCCTTATTGCTTTTATAATAATCTGCTTAAAGTAGACCCAAACCTCATTTAAACTTAACTTGTTGCTGTGTTTTCAAAAGTGGTTTTTAATTTTTTTATATCTGCAGATTTCACTAAAATAATACCTGGTGCTCCTGTCCCAAAGGTCCCTGTTCTCTCACAAATTTGTCCATGTTGTCACCTTATCACATACACCCCTGAAGGTTACTCTGAGGCATCCATTTATAAGAACATCTATTGCAAAAATGTCAGAAACATTCATACAAGCTGAACAGAATGACACCGTATGTTTTCTAAGCGATTGATGCCTGAATTATCAGCTCCTTCTAGGGCCAAAATGCAATATAGTTTTTCTTATTGAGTCCATTCGGGAAAACTATATTGTATTTTGGCCACTAGATAGAATTGATGATACAGGAATTGATTACAGTGACATTTTGTTCTGCTTGCACAAATATTCTTACATTCATGCAACAAATGTTTTATAAATAGACCACCAAGTGACCAAGCCATCACACATTTCATAGTCAGGGTCAGGGGTGGACTGACAACTCATGGGGCCCCCGGGCAATGGGGGATCATGGGGCCAATGTGTCCTTGCCCAAACTCAAAAAAGCCTATGAAAAAGGTACCAGGGGCATCTCATGGGGCTCCCTACTGACCCCGGGCCCCTTGGGCAGTGCCCAAGTTTCCAAATGGTCAGTCCACCTCTGGTCAGGGTCCACTGAAGCTAATTCTGACCAATAACATCCAACTGATTTTGGGGAACATGTATGTAGACAGGAACTGACTGATAAAGGCAGAAGGATATATTACAAAGAATGTAATGTAAAGAAGGAAAAAAAAACCCTATATGGTATAGGTTTTAAGTGTTTGTAAAGGCTCAAGGTGTTTACCTTCATGCATGCTATGCATGAACGTAAAAGAAACCTTCTGTGTGCAACAAAATCCCCCCCCCAGCTCTCTTAATAACTGAGGCCCATTGCGATCCAGCGATCGCCTCAGCTCTCTACAGACTCACCCCGCACATTAGCTGTGACAGCAGCGGGAGCCATTGGCTACTGTCAATCAGAGCCAGTGGGCCAATGAGCAGAAAGGGGGCCGGGACAAGCCACAGCTGTGTGTGTGAATGGACAAGCAGAGCAGTGGCTCAGGAGTGAGATTGTTGGGTGCCCCCTAGCAAGTTGCTTGCTCTGGAGACACTTGGCAGGAGAAAGGGGCCCAAAGGCGCCAGATTGGGACCCAAGAAATGGCAGATGTCCGTGGGGCTGTACAAAACTATTACAAATAGTGGATAAGTGTGATATGTTTGTTATTTTAAAAAAATGCCTTTCATAATACTTTAAGTTTAAATGTTCTTTAATCTATGTATCATAATATTTGTTTTCTCAATGATTTAACTGCTCTTCTGCCTTTACAACTATGCATGCTGTCAGAAAATACCAGAACCCAGCTCTTTTAAACCTCATAGCATTCACAGGAATGGATTTAGAAACATGGGTCAAAAACTGTCAAAATATAAAATAGTCTGTTATACAGTAAATGGCGGGTAAATATAAGGACTTTGTTAGGTCCAACAAAATTGGAAAACAACACACCTTAGGTATGTTGCAGTGCAGGTGCACGTAAACATAACTGTATTATTACAAAACGTACTGTATAAACATCACTCAGAAAAATTGTACTACTCCCAAAAAATGGCAGATTGTCACAATAAATGAAAATTATAACATATAGTAATTTAGAAGTCTGGCCTTAAAAAAAACCTGTCTCTTGAGAAATAGCATTTGGGCATGTAGCAATTTTCTAAGGTCTATTTAACGGCTTCCTGGGTGCGCAAAATCACGTATATATATACATGATATATATGGCTGCTGCTATCAATTACTGGGTCCTGGCCAATAATTACTCACCAGCGCCTCGTGATTTCCGAAGATCTCCAACGGGGAGGAGGACTATTTTGCTTACTAACAGTCTTCCTCCCTGTCAGCTGGAGCACACTGCTTTGGATGGCTGTGCATAGCACAGCCATCCAGAGCAGTGTGATTACAGAGAAGCACATTGACACCCCCTAGTAAAATACTCCCTGCACACAGTTAACCCTTTGATCGCCCCTCGTGTTAACCCCTTCCTGCCCAGTGCCATTAGTACAGTGTCATTGCTTTTTTTTAGCCCTGATCACTATATTGGTGTCACTGGGGATGTCAGTGACACCAAGTCAGTTCCCCCCATGTCAGAATGTGCGGCGCATGTATCGCTATAAGTCGCTGATCGCCGCCATTACCAGTAAAAATTTAAAATGAAAAAAAATCCCAGTATATATACTGTCATTTGTAAATGCTATAACGTTCACATAAACCAATTAATTTACATGTATTGGGATTTTTTCTAGCAAAAGACATGTAGCAGAATACATTTTGGTGTAAATTTATGATGAAATTTGATTTTTTAAATGTTTTTACTGGACATGTTTAATAGAAAATAGTCAAAAATGTTTTTTTTTCTCAAAATTGTCAGTTTTTTTTATAGCAAAAAAAAAAAAAAAAACGCACAGGCGATCAAATACCACCAAAAGAAATCTCAATTTGTGGGTCAAAAAAGGCCGTAAATTTAATTTGGGTGCAGTGTTGCATGACCGTTAAAGTAACGTAAAAAATGGCCTGGTCAGGAAGGGGGGTAAATCCTCAGGAGGGCAGGTGGTTAATACATGGATAAGTGTTATTATGTTTTAAAAATATGATATATGCTTTAAAACTCAGCAGAATTCAAGCACTGTAATGTATATACAGCTACCAGAGGTTTCAATAAAAGCTGAAAAAAAACAACTTCCTACTGCTGATTACGTAACATGGTAACATGAATATAAAAATTGATTTCTGCATTGTCTTCTTTGCTCAATAACCTAGTAATCTTCCTTCATAGGTGACAATATTGCTTTCACAAAGCCTGTTGTTTTATTATAAAAAGGAGTGAAGCATAGGAATCCAGTGTTGCAGGGTTCTGTTATGCTTGCTTTTGCAGCATGCAGAAATATTGTGTTTGGTCACAAGGAAGCCATATGGATTTATGAAGCTTCCAAATGTTTGTTCTAGTTAATTAAATTCCAGTGATGACAGTAATGTTCTTCTTTATGTTTCTTCACCATGTGCTCCAAAGATATTAGACAGACACATTAGTTCCACAGTTCAATGCACTGTGATCAATATTTGCATATGCATTTTTCCTGTTCCTTTTGAAAACCTGCCATATGAACCATTGTTCATAAATGATAGCTGAAATAACTGGGGGCCATGGAATACTGCCACCTTCTAGCAGACGCTGGTACTACAAGGGTGACTTCACATTTACAGAAAACCCAGTCCAGTACTGATGATGCAAGAAATGTAAATACAATTAGGAGCAGATTATAAATCTAAATAGGAGGTAAAGATAAAACTACGGACAAAATAAAAAAAAAACAACACACTGTATAATATGCACTCTGTCAGTACTCTGTAGTCAGTAGTATTAACATAAAATCCCAATTGTAATATGTTATCTGTTGTTCCTGTCAGTAGATCCCTTGTTTTTCCACTTCCTTTGTTCCTGTCAGTAGATCCCTTGTTTTTCCACTTCCTTCTACAGGCTAAACTATCCTTCAAAATTATCAATTACAGGGATTGAGAGAAACAATATGAGGTTCCTTTCACACTACCTGCTGTTTACCACCACTCTAAAAAGGAATCCCTCATTGATCGCTCTTCACACAAATGTGAAATGAGGTTTGCAGGCATTCGGGATGCTGCCTCATGAATCTTGCTTCTTTTTTTTCCTTTTTTTTCCCCTGCTGAACTGAAGTTTTGAATTTCGGGACCCCACCAAAACTGCGAGCCAAGTGTCCTCATTCATTTATCTATCTGGTACAGCCGAATAGTTTTGATATAGTAACACATAGTATAATGTTACATATAGTTTTAAAAAAATATTTGACAGCTGCTTTGTGTGTAAGATTCGCACGTCAGGTATGAATCTGTTTATTACCAATGATGTTATACCTAAATATACCCAGCAAAGACATATCTCTCAAATAAATATCTATAACTACACCTAAGATATATATATATATATATATATATATATATATATATATCCTAAAGCACATGTCAAAAAGCACCCAGAAATGGTTCCAAAGTGCTGGAGAGTACTGAACTGGCCAGCAATGAGTCCAGATCTCAGTCCAATAGAGCACCTGTGGAGAGATCTCAAAGCAGCACTTGGGAAAAGGAACCCTTCCAATCTGAGAGACCTGGAGCAGTTGGTGAAAGAAGAGTGGTCTCCAGTATAGAGATGTAAGAAACGTATTGATGGTTACAGGAAACAATTGATTTGTTATTTTTTCCAAGGGGTGTGCTATTAAATATTAAATTGAGGGTGCCAATAATTTTGTCCAGTCCATTTTTGGGGGTTTGCGTGGGATGTGTCAAATTTGGCTTTTTGTTTCTCCACTTTTTTGTGTCATACCAATACAAACAAAAGAAATAAACATGAGAATGCTTAAACATTTGTTATTGCAACAATTTTCTGGGTGAAGTGGTGCATTATCTGAAAGAAATACAGGGGTGCCAATATTTTTGGCCATGACTATATTTACCCAATTTATTCTCTCTTGAGAAGAGGAGATTATGGGGGGGTATGATCAACATGTATAAATACATCAGTGGTTCATAAAGTGAACTCGGTGTAGAGTTATTCACCCTGAGGTCATCACAGAGGACAAGGGGGCACTCTTTACGTCTGGAGGAGAATAAATTTATTCTCCAAACATGGAAAGGTTTCTTCACAGTAAGAGCTGTGAAAATCTGAAATAGACTCCCTCAAGAGTTGGTTCTGGCCAGCTCAGTGGATTGCTTTAAAAAAAGCCTGGATTCTTTCTTGGATACACAGAATATAACTGGATACTAACATTTATAGGTAAAGTTGATCCAGGGAATATCCGATTGCCTCTTGGGGGATCAGGAAGGCATTTTTTTCCCAGCAGGAGCAAATTGGATCATGCTTTGCTGGGTTTTTTTGCCTCCCTTTGGATCAACTCTGTGGGTATAGGATTAGAACTTTTTTTTTTTTTTAATGGTTGAACTGGAAGGACTTTTTTCAGCCAGAATATATATATATATATATATATATATATATACACACTCTAGATATATGAAAGTGAAGTTGCATAATTATTATTGGCACAGTATAGTAGTACGTTCACCTGCAAAATCGACTAAATAACATGATTAACAATCCATAAAATAGTAATAACATTTTGTACCTAAATATTGGCAGTAAATTAAAAAAGGTTTTCTTTTAATTGACTGCCAGTTCAAGGTACTGGATCATATCATTACATTGTGCAATTCACTTTAGTGAGATTGATTTGTACAAATGTATTGATGGAATAAATTTTTACTGAACTCATTCAAGTATTTGTAGCCCTCTCATGCTTTTTATGTATTCGAGACTACTCCAGGGACCATGACACCTCAGTTGGCAAAGAAATGCATCTTAAATTGACCACAAACCATTAGATTTTTTTTAGATCAGCCTGCAGGGGGGAACAAAGGAAATCTAACAGATTCCTCAATTCTTGTTAAACAGTACAGATGGAGTAAATCTCTAGATGTGGCTATTGTATTCCGACAGTTGGCACCACCAGCGGTCAGAATACACAAATAGTACCCCCATCTGCTTATGTGCAGGGGCTGT